ACACCCAGATATTTGCCTGCACTTTTCTGCCATCTGATGAGACCATTGTGTGTGTGTGTGTTTCAATGGGTAGAAACTCAGCAGATACCTGTTAGCTGTTCAAACTCCTATTAACAGTTAGTGCTCCTGGCCTGATGTTTGTGAAAATCAAGGGGCAAGCAGAGTGGCACTGCTTTACTGGAGATGCATGCGATCGGGGATACCTGAATGATTATATTTGTGTCCAGTGAAATCTGGTTTAATGAAAGAAACTGTATGCTCTGAGGCCAGTGTCTGTGATCTTATTTTGTAAAGGGCCAGGCAGTAAATAGTTTATGCTTTCTGGGCCCTCTAGGGCTCTGGTGCATATTCTTAGGGCTGACTGTAACTTGTTGACTCCTGTTCTGGAGGAAACTGGAGGCTGGAAGAACCTCCCCTCTGTGCAGTCTTGCTGTGGAGCGTGAAAATGAAAAGTACGCGGCCCCTCCCCCACAGATGCTGTTTCCATAGTAACGGTGGCTCTATTGCTTTGCCTGTTAGCACCCCAGTTTTAGGTAGGAATATAGGCTCCAGTACCAGATGTGTGATAAGAGACAGCTACTTTGACAATAAATCATTTGTAATTATGTGGCTGTGGGATATTAACAACACTGATGTGTTTGATTTTTAGAACCAGCTGGGACTTGGGAAATCTTGTCTTGGCCCCTCAATTCTGTAGACAGGGAAACTGAGGACAAGGGAGGCCAATAATGTGTCAACAGGTGCAAAATTTGGTTAAAAAGTGGGAGGAGGGGGCATTCCACAAAGTTGCATGTACAGGTTTAATGCAGGTGTTAGTCCACTGTGTGTCCTCCTCTGGCTTCCCCGAGGTGTGCCGGTTGCCAGGGGTGTGAAGCATTTCACCTGAACATAGTAGGTGCTCAGATAGTATTTGTTGAATGCTTGGATTTCTTGGGAGGGCTTCAAGCAACAGCTGTAGACCAACTAACAGTCCCTAGACACAGTTCTAAGTTCCCAGCAGAATAGATCCTGTTTACCTGGGGTTTTCTTCAGTTTTTTTCAGGGGTGCCAGGACTGGGGGTGTGGTCAGGCTTCTGGTCTCCTAGTACTTCCTGGGGGTGGGGGTGGGAACTGGTTAGTTCTCAGGCAGGTGTTGTCACCAGGAAGACCCAGGAGAGCTATCTGTGTTCGCTCTAGCCTCTGCCCACAGGCCCGGGCAGTGCAGAATCAAAGAAAGGTCTCTTTGTTTGAATGAACTGGCAGAAGTTTGGACCAACAGACTTTTTAGCACTATCTGTGGAAACAGGTATTTTCTGGTCAAGTCTCAGAATTAAAAGACATTTGATGTGCTGCAGAAGTCAAGCACTTTAGGATTTCATGTGGAAATTGGATAGCCCAGAATGGCTGGTAAATAATTTTTCCTTCCCTGGCCTTTGTCAGTTTGGTTTTTAATTTAGTAAAGAACTCTGTAGTTAGGTGAATTTAAATTAACAATGCTAAATCTGTAGTTCTGCAAGGTATGTGTCCCGGAAGGAGGCAGCAGTGATTTTATTCAGAAATGTTTGTAGGGTCACCGGTCCGGTGAGCGCTGTGGTCAGGGACAGCAGACAGGTAGCTGTGATGTGCCATTTTTCATCATTGTGCTGGAGCAGAAAATTCTGGAATGAGTTTCTTACTAATTAGCTCTTTGACCATGGGTGGATCGCGTCATCTCTTTGGGCTGGAGTATGGAGGAATGGGTCCAGGTTGCCCTCTGCTGCATCCCAGGCTCCGCTCCGTGCTGGGCACATGGTAGTGCCTAATAAAAGCCTCTTGAGGGGTGCCTGGGTGGCTCAGTCGGTTAAGCAGCTGCCTTCGGCTCAGGTCATGATCCTGGGGTCCTGGGATCGAGCCCCACGTCTGGCTCCCTGCTCAGCGGAGAGCCTGCTTTTCCCTCTCCCTCTGCCTGCCACTCTGCCTACTTGTGCTATTTCTCTGTCAAAAAAAAAAAAAAAAAGCCTCTTGAATGAATGAGTGTCTTTTCTATTGTTGTAACCAATTACCAATTACCATAAATTCACTGGCTTAAAACAGTGCAAATGTAGGGGTGCCTGGGTGGCTCAGTTGGTTAAGTGCCTGCCTTTGGCTCAGGCCCTGCTCTCAGGGTCCTGGGATGCAGCCCCAAGGACCAGCTCCTTGCTCAGTGAGGAGCCTGCTTCTCCCTCTCCTTCAGCTACCATCCCACCTGCTCACAAGGGCGCGTGCGCGCGCGCTCTCTCTCTCTCTCTCTCTCTCTCTCTCAAATCTTAAAAAAAAAAACAACAAAACAAAACCCAGTGCAAATGTATCCTCCTACAGTCTTGGAGGTCGGAAGTCTGAAGCCTTACTGGGCTATATACAGTCAAGGTGTGGGTGGGGCTGGTTCCTTTGGGAGGCTCCAAAGAAACCTTTCCTCGCTTTCTCCAGCTTTTCCAGGCTTCTGCAGCCCTGGCTGGGGCCCCTCGCATCCTCAAAGAGTGCTCCAGCCTTAGCTTCCACAGCTTTCTGACTCTGGCCCTCTGCTCCCCCTTCTAGGGACCTTGTGATTACTGTGGGCCTGCCCACATAATCCAGGATCATCTCCCTATCTCGAGATCCTTATGTTAATCACATCTTCAGAATCCCTTTTGCTGTGTAAGGTAAGGAAGTCAGAGGTTCCAGGAATTAGGATGTGAACTTCTTGGTTATGTGGCCTGCCACACGAGTTTGTGAAAAGAGTACTAAGTAGACAAGTCCCTAAGTGTCTGGATCACAGTCCATGGGGTAACCTGCTCTGCCTGCCCACCCCCCACCCTCCCATTTTTGGGGCCCTGCCCTGACCCCTGCTTGAGCCTCTCCTGGGCTGCCCAGCTATTGCCGACCTGGAAGCCTTGGAAAGTGCTTGTTCAAGACTTCCTTTTAGACCCAGGGTGAGCAAACTTTTTCTACTTGTGGCATTGCGGGCCACATAGGGTGTCACAAATTCTTTGTTTTTTAAAACAAATGTGAAAAATGACTTTAAAAAATCATTCTTAGTTTGAGGGCTTATATAAAAAACAGGCCGTTGGCTAGGATGCTGACCAGTGTTTGCCGCCCCCCTGTTGTAGACTAAGCTCTGTAAGGCAGGGGCCCCATGTCCCCATCACCATGGTGACAGTCTCCAGGGCTTCTCTTAATAGTGGGGGGGGGCAGTTCATGTTCCTATCCGAATGATCTTTTGATTTGATAGAAGTGTCTAAATGTTAGATCCAATCCTAGTGGAGAATTTCAAGTTGATTTACATTTGAGATCCTGTTAAATACCAGTTATTCTGATGAAAATACAATCCACTTTTGCCCTGAGGGGCTTGCTGCCCAGCGTGGGGGAAGAGTGCTGTTATTAGTTATGACTGTTGGGCGTGGAACAGAAACTTCCTGGAGCCAGCTCCCAGAAGGGAGATTTAAAGATAAAGCGGTGTGTTATGGAACCCCAGGGCACCAGAATCAGGATTTGGACACTTTGGGCGATTTTCCATCTGTGGTCATTCTTTGCTCCCAGCACGTGAGGCAGACACACTAGGGGAGGCTCTGGCATGTAAGCTTGGGAGCTGTGAGCACTTGGGAGCATTTGTGGTTTGTGTCTTCACTGAGGCTGACTCTCCTAGAGATTTCATTCATTTTCAAGACGAATGAAAGGAAGGATGTACCCAGTTTCGTGTAAGAACCAGCTTGGTTTGCCTTCGGCCTGGTGCCAGGCTCCATAAGCCTGGAGGTATGTGATGTCACTCTCTCTCCCGTTTCACTTTTTTGGCCCCAGTTTGTAACTGATCTTTGCTCCCTGTGCTTTATATAAAGTCTTGGATCATAATATATAGGATTTTATCTTAAAGTCATCCCAGGGGGTGCAGAATGCTTTGCCAGCGCACACAGGCTGTTCCTTCCGGCCTGCGTGGCTTCTGAATAGGGTAAAACAGCAAACCATACTGTGGCTACTGCCACCAGGCGCCTTTTATTATCAGCAAATACCGGTGTTTGCCTTTACCTCTGACGTACATATTAGCAGTGTGTCTAAGTGGATGCTTTAGCTTTCTTCCCCATACATGGATTCCAATGGGAAGTAATGGTCACTTTTACAAGCTTATTTTTCATGATCAAGTTTTAGAAATAATAGCCAAGAACCTCTTGAGTATAGGATAAAAGACATGGAAGCTCTTAGTCCCCAGGTGAGTCCCCTACCAGGCAGCACTCACTCACCTTTGGCAGGCACGCGCTCAGTATTCGAATGAATGAGTGAATGAATGAGTAACATGCTAATAGACTTGTAGAAGCCCATAGGAAATTAGAAAGTGGCAGAGGTTAGGAGGTTAGGAGCTGCCTTCTTGGTCATCTTGTCAAGATTTTCTAAGTGGAGGGGGCAGTGGACCCCCCACGTGGTCTGTCTCTGGGGGGTGCTGCTGCTGAGTCTGCACCCCAGAGAGCCCTGCTTGTGTTGCCTGAGCAGGTGCTTTTTCTCTGGATGCTGGTTCTTTGGTTTGAGAAGTGCACACACCCGGTTGTTCCTGAAGGCTTCCTGATTTTGGTTGCTTCCCTTTGATTTGGTTTTGCTCATCCTTGAACAGCCTTCCGTAGGCAGGTTCTGTACCTCCCCTACTCTGCCTGAGCTTTGATGTTACATGGATGTGCTACAGTGATGAGCACTTATTTTTCCATCTTGGAGAGCTGTCCTTGACTTGGCAAGAGGACTCAGTGTGGAAAGGTTTACATTTCAGTGTCACCGGTGAGCAGTAGACTCTGGTCAATTCAGACAGAATAGGACTTCTTAACATTGGGGCTGGGGGAGGGACCTACAACAAAATGCTCTTTAAATGTGACCAGAACAGCCTGTGTGTGGTAAGGGCGTTTTTCTAGGGACAGAATCCAAGGCTTTCTTCAGGTTTTCAAGGAGATCCGTGATCCCTGAAGAATTCAGTCCACTGCCTCAGGGATTCTTGTGGATTAACGCTCTTTTTTTTTTTTTAATATTTCAAAGGCAGATCGGGAGCGGTGCCGAGAAAAATTTCCTTACTAGATGACATTTCATCGCAATGTCCGATCGTTTGGGGCAAATAACCAAGGGCAAGGATGGGAAAAGCAAGTATTCGACTCTCAGCCTGTTTGATAAGTATAAAGGAAAATCAGTAGACGCAGTCAGATCCTCAGGTAAGAACTGGGGTGAGGCCAGTTCTCTACGCTTTCCCTTACATGAGAAACCCCAGGCCAGGAATCCGCCTGGTCAGACTGCCTTCTGGGCGTGGAGTGGTCACCTGGCAGCTCTGGGGACGCAGAATCACCCCCCTGCTCCTGTTGGTGTCTGATTTCAGAGCCTGGATATCCTGGCTCTGCTTCCATGGGATTGTGTCCTCCTCTCTCTTACCTCCTGGAAACCGGGGATCGGTTCTCCCCCACCCCGGGGTAGACTGGGACGTCATTTGCATTAGTTACCCTGTCTTAGGCTTCCTGGTTCTGACATTCTGGAGCTTGGGAAAATGCTGTTGACACTGTCCACACCCTGGGAGGGTTCGGGGAATGTCGAGGGGCCCTGCTTAGGCCCGGTCCGGGGCTGGGTGGAGGCTGTCCCTCCTGTCCTGCCACAACGAAGCCGGAGCAGCTCAGCTTGTGGAGAGGTGGTTACCGCGTGGGGCGGAGGGGTCTGGGCCTGGCTCCCCGCCTGTGGCATAAACTCCCTGCACCTGCTCCTGCCCACTAGGAAAATGGAAGCCTCGGCACAGATGTCAGCCGCTCCTCTGGCTCCGAGGCCTCGGCGAAGACCAAGGCCTTGTAAAGCGGCCGAAGCAGCAACCAGACCATTTCGTTTGTTTGCACGCAGGCTGCCCCTTGCGTCTGTTTGGCTGTCTTTGTCGTCATTGCTTAGAGCTTGAAGGAGCAGTTGACCGACCGGCCTCTTTGCTTCTGAAACTTGTCTGTTTCCACCCCTCTCTTCCTGCAGTTATTCCTCGACATGGCTTACAGAGTCTCGGGAAAGTTGCCACAGCCCGGCGCATGCCACCACCTGCAAACCTGCCAAGCTTGAAGTCTGAAAACAGAGGAAACGACCCCAACATCGTGATAGTTCCCAAGGACGGAACGGGATGGGCAAACAAGCAGGATCAGCAAGACCCAAAGAGGTGAGAGCAGCGGGGGCAGGTGTGGGTGGGGAGCCGGAGCCTCACGGAGTGCCGCGGCTCCCTTTCCTTCTGCAGAAGGCGGTGTAGAGCTGGAGAACTGGGGAGATCCCAGAGGAAGCTTCTTTACCCTGACTCCTGCTGCTTGGTCGTTTCTTGCTCCCTGCTCTCGTTTTTCCTGGCTTTTGGAGCTGATGCAGCAGGGCTTCTGTGGGCTGGCCTCGTCCCCGGTGACCAGTGTCCCCTGTGCCTTATTAGGAATGGCCTCATCACCCCAGAGGAGCTTATGCAATGCCTCGGTGCCAGTTCCTGAGCCAGTAAGGGCCGCTGTGGACGGGGCGGGTGCTCGAACACTCCATTCTGCCGGTAGTCCCTTTGTGCTGGTTCCAGGGTGAGGAGGAGGCCGTCTTCCCAGCTTCAGGGCCAGCAGCTTTCCACAAAGACTGCTGCACTTAGTTGCTCCAAACAGACCCAGTTATGAAGGCGAACAATCCAGAATCCTCATTATTCAGGGTTGGTATGCAGCCTCCCTGTAGGCTTCCACCACTGCCAGCATAGCACTTAGGGGAGCCTTAGGAGGCCCAGGGTCTGGCACAAAAATCATTAGAGCAACAGAGCAAATGTTGTGGCTGCTGGGGGCCCGTTCCAGCTCTGCCCCGGGCACGTGACCTGGGCCCCTCCCTCCCACCTTCCACTGCGAGTCTCCTCTGCTGGGCGCCAGCCAGCCATAAGGGTGGCCAGGAGGGAGGATTTGAGATTTGTGCTGGGAGGGGACCAGAGAGGGACAGGACCTTGCTTAGGCTGGCCGGCAGGACCTGCTGCCAGGGTTTGCCTGCTGGGGAGTAGGAACAACACAGTCTGGTCTCATACGTCTTCCTGCCCTCAGTCTCCTCTTGTGCTCGGGATCCAGAGAGTAAAAGTGACCTAGAGCACAGCCTGCCAACCCGTGTCCTTTTCTCTTGCTGGAAATGGCCATGGTAGCTTTTTTTAGAGAGAGGGAGTGCGCGTGCGAGCGCGGGGGTGGGGGGTAGGAGGAGGGGGAGAGGGGGGAGAGAGTCTCCAGCAGGCTCCAGGCTCAGCGCAGAGCCGGATGCAGGGCTCGGTCTCACAACCCTGAGATCATGACCTGAGCCGAAACCAAGAGTTGGCCGCTCAACCGGCTGAGCCACCCAGACGCGCCCCGGCCATGGCAGCTTCTATAAAACTTGCCTGCAGTTAACTTCAGACAACATGTGGAGAGTGAGCACATAGTTCAGTCACATGAGCATGAAGGAGTAATAACCAAAATAGAGTGTGGAAAGCTGTTTTTAAAAATTTTCTAACAGTTTGTTTAGGAGTCATACAGGTTGACGGTAGGGCCTGACATTTAGGATCAGCCAGGCCACTTCCTACGAGCTTTCTGGAACCTGGAGAGTGATTTGATTTGTGAGCTCCACTGTCCTGGGTGTTTGTGGGAAATAGATGAGCTGACGCAGGTCAGGTACCTGGCACAGAGAATTTGTGTGGCAGGTGTCAGCTGCTGCTGTCATTCTGTTCGATTGGCAGATGCTACAGGCTCTATAATGACGTGGATCTTGTACATTTCAACGTAAGTGTTGCTTTGCCTCCGCCCCGAGAAGTTCCAGAGAGCGAGGACAAGGCTTCACTCCCTCCTTATGTGGGGTCCTGCCATCACTGGCACAGAAGGGATCAGGGGACCTGAATGAGGCCGGTCGTGCTGAAGCACGTCAGCCAGGGGAAGGTCGGGATGGGGTACCGGGCGAGGCTGTGGACCACAGGCGCTGGTCCTCTGTTCCCCTGGGCCTCGTCCTCCCTCGGGGTCTCAGGGAGGTAATGGGGTGAGGGCCTGCACTGCTGGGACTCTGTGCTTAGGTTTGGAGAACACGAAGGTGACACTACGTAGAAGCTTCTGTTGTACGTAGAAGGTGACGGGAGAGGACATTAGTGGTCTTCATTTTATAGCCATGCTGCACGCTGGGTTCCTTGGGTCGTGTCAACCCCAGCAGCATATGTGTGTGAGTAGCGTTTGGCTTCAGCTTACTGGTGAGCCCCCGGCATCGGGGGAGACTGGCCGACGGACTGCTGCCCTTCTCGGGTCTCCTCGGTGGAACAAGTGTGAGTGGAAGGCTCTGGGGGAGCAGACGTCTTCCTCACAGCCCCTTGTTGCTTATGGAGTGTGTATCAACTGACACAGTCTTCTTTGGAGGGCACTTGGGCCATACCTTGTAAACTCTAGAACCTCTTAGACTACTAAATGACGCAGAAGTGTGCAAAGATATGTATTAAGAAGTGCTCATTGAAATTTTGCCAGTAATGGGAAAAAAATTGGGAATGGGGGCCCATCCACTTGTACTGGGTCTCTAAAACAAAGGTAGATCCGTGTGCTGTCCCGAAAGCACGTTAGATACGTTAAGTACAAAACAAGCTACGAGTTGTGTGTGTGGTGTTATCCCACTCATGTTAAAAAAATACTATGTTAATGTATATATAGCAAAATCTGCTTGGCGTTTCACTCTGGAGGATGAGATCGTGACAAATTCTGTGTTATATATATTTGCACATTTATTTTTATTCTGGGCACATATTTCTTTTATAAGCCAAGAGAAAATCACATCTCAAAGCCATCAGCCCCCTGCACTGCCGTGAGCTCTTGGTCAGGAGTCCGGGGCTCCGAGCCCCTTCCCTTGCTGACTCAGTTTCCCTGTTGGCAGTTCCTCCAGCACTTGCTCACGGTGAGCTCCCAGGTTGTGCAGGAGCACCTCTGCCAGGGCGCCGAGGACTGTCCTGCCCTGCAGACGGCAGCGGCTAGGCCTCGGAGGGGGCTCAGCGTCTCGTGGGCTCCGCAGTGTGAGAGTCTGCTGGGGAGTTCCCGTGCTACCGCCAAGGCTCCGGCAGGCACGGAGGGGCCCGCGCGCCCACCCCTCTGACCCCCGTGCCCCCTGCCTTGTCCAGTTCCAGTGTGACGGGCTCTCCGCCGCCGGAGTCGCTGCCGCAGCCGGGTTTGCAGAGGCCTGTCTCCAGCTTACAGAAGCCGACACAGTCGAGCAGCCAGGAGGTAGGTGCCGCATGCCCCACCCCTTCCAGAAGCGAGCCTGGCGGGTGGCCGTGGGACAGGAGAACGGGACATTGTCAGGGTCCTGTGAGGTGTCTTGAATCTGCGGCTTTTGGAGAAAGACCCCAGACCCAGAACAGAGTACAGACAGCTAATTTGCTTTCTGGTGACTTGCCTTCAGGCGAGGTCACAGGGGTGAGCCACAGACCAGATCACGGTTCCCCGCTGTGCTCCATGGGGACCAGTTAGGTCACAGGAAGGTTCGGGGGTTAGGTGAGTTGAAAAACAAAATTAAGCAAAAGCTCCTTTACTGTCTGACTTCTCGTCAGTGTCTTCAGTGTGCTCGTGTGTGCTGTGACTTTGTACGAAGACATAACGGATGGCATTCCCTGAACCCATCTGTCCTAGGAAACCTAACTGACCATCTTTAGAGATGTCTCTAAGAACACCCTTTGGGAAATACTGACCTATGACCCTTTATTTGTTGATGCATGTAAAGTGTTCTTCTGGGAGTGCCTGGCTGGCTTAGTCGGTGGAGCATGCAGCTCTTGATCTTGGGGTTGTGAGTTCAAGCCCCATGATGGGTATAGAGATTACTTAAAAAATAAAATCTTAAAAATAAATAGCGTTTTCCTAAACAGAAAGTCAGGATTTAATCAAGCAAGGGCTCATAATGTACTCAGTCCATCGGCGTCTGTGGGTTTCATGGATCAGCAGGAGGATATACTTAGCTGGTAGCTGGAAATCCAGATAAGACGTCTGCATATGTTTTAGAAGAGCACAAGACATGTAGACAGATACCTAGCACTCAGCGGCTCTCTGGCAAACAACCTGTACTACTGTTTTTTCATTTTGTACTGCTCCCTGGGCACCGGAAGGGCACCCTCCCCAACCCAACACTGAACTGTGCTTTTGAAATTAAAGGAAAAGGTAAAAGAAGCCCACATTCACATGAAGCTCCCGTGTTCCTTGGCTTGAATCCACTAGTGCCTGGCGCCCAGTCAGAGCACGGAGTTGAGTCCGGCTCTGTGTCCTGGAGTTGCAAGCTAAGAGATTGGGGGAGCCTGGGTTTTGCAGCTCTTGCTGTAGGTCAGACTCACCTTGGGAGTGGCTAGAAGTGGATCTGTCCTGTCCCCCAGGACTGCAGAGTCCGGGCTGGGCCTGGCGTGCTCTTGGCATTGCGGAGGGTCAGAGCCCCAGCCTGGGGCCAGCATGCTGGTCGCCCTGCCCAGGGCTCAGCTCTTCCCGCGGGGTGGCGGTGAGAAGGGACTCCCGGTGTTCCCCAGCCTCTAAAGCCTCACCCCAGAGGCCTGACAGCACTTCTGCGCTTGTCAGAGGCGCACCAGGAACTCTTGACGGCAACGTTAGGACCGCTGCTCGGCCCTGGAGCCATTCTCTTCCCATTTGGTGCCTTTGGTGGGCGAGAGGGCTGCAGACACTGAGTGGGAGGCTGTGGGGCCCTGGGGCCCCTGTGCTTCCTGGGGGACCGGCCAGTCGCAGGGGCCTGTGGCCATCCCAGGGCACTCAGGGCAACTCCTGATAGATAAATGGATTGTGAGACCTAGTCAGCTCTGCAGCCGTGTGCCCTGAGTGTGGTGGTGCTGGTGGCCATGCTGGGCGGGAAAGAGTAATTATTTAATGTGAGGTTTGACCCAGTAAGTGCTGAAATGTCATGCTGCACCAGCTTTGTTTTGTGCGTTTTTACCTTCCGTTGAAGGGGGAAGGCTGCTAGGTTGAACGCTGTCGGGAAAGCATTGGGCTCAGTGGCTGGGGACTCGACGGGGCTTCGGATGCAGGCCGAGTGGGGACAAAGTCCCGGTCCTGCCCTCCTAATTGGGACTGGCCACTTCTTTCTGAGCCTCGGTTGGGATAGGACTAGAACCTTCCCAGGGTGTGGGAGGATTTGCTCCGGCGGGGTGTGCCTAGCATAACGCCTCGCCTGCCGTGAGCTTTCAGCACTGTTAGCTCCTGGGTTAGCTGCTAGGATTGCGTGCGGGCCCAGCGAGTCCAGGTTAGCAGAGGAGGAAGTCCTCACTTGAGTAGTTGTGCCTTGTAGAATGACAGTAATTATGGAGAGCTGTGTAGTGGCCCATCCAGCGAAAGATGAAGCACGTCAGCTTCCTCATGCTGGCTCTCCTCTGCTAGCAGGGGCACGTGGTTTTTGAGACACATACTAGAATTGGGGTTTGGTCTTTATCTCTGAAGCAAGGCACAGTAGTGCTGTGTGGGCGCGAGGGGTGACCTGACAGAATGTTCTGGAGTGCAGCATGAAGGGGATGTGGGCTTGAGTCCTGGCTTTGCTGTGGGACCAGCTGCGTGAGCTGGCCATGCCTTCTGTCCTGCTCCTCACCTGTGCTGTGGGCCTGGCAGCTCCTGATGCTCAGGCTGCCGCACAGGTGGGAAGCTGGGGGGAAAGCAGGCCGATTGGGCTGGCTTTGTTCTCATTTCCTTCCTTCTTTCAGAACACAAATTCAGTGCCAGGTGGACCAAAGTCATGGGCACAGCTGAATGGAAAGCCAGCAGGACACGAAGGTGGTAAGTGTGGGTGGGTGGTGTTGGGCTGGGTGTGTGGGAGGGACGAGTACCTTTTCTGGACTGTTCCCCTTGGGTCGTGGCAGCCCTTGGCTTAAAGCTTTATGGAATCTCTCACCTGAGTGAGCTTCTGCTCCGTGGAGCCTTTCCCTCTGCCCCAGGAGTGGGAGCGCTGCCTCCGCAAGGCTTGTCAGCTCTTTGATTTCCATGAATGTTACTAGTCAAGACATTCCTCCTGGGGTGTGTGGGGAGGCTGGACGCTGGCCCTGCCGTTCTCAGACTCGGCTGTGCTGCTGGGGGAGTTGAGACCTGCTCAGCAGTGTGGCCGACACGCGTCCACTTCGTCTCTCCCGGGCCTGCGAGGAGGTGTCGCGTGGTGTGGCGTGAGCCTTGGGCCTGCGTTTATTCATAAGCCGGCCCTGGGAATTGAGCTGCTTGCTTTTCGGACGGTGACACCAGAGCATTCGTGGCTTACAGGGTACTTGTTACCGTTTGTGTCATGCCCGACTCGAGAGGTCTCGCCAGGCAGAGCTGCTCCACAGCAGGGGGACAGGGAGAGCGGCCGGAGAGGAGGTGCTTGGCTTTCAGGGACCGCTCAACGGCCCATCCGACGGCTTCCCGGGCAGGCCGAGAGCGCAGCCAGACTCTGCCCGCCTCCGGTGACAGCGGCCCTCAGAGAAGGCAGGCCCAGGCTCAGTGGTGCTTTTTGAGAGAAGCCAGAAGTCCAGATTTTTCTACGTGAGCCCTCCTAATTTGTCACTGTTAGCTCGAGTATTTCTAGCACACTGTGCGGACCAAACTGGATGATGCTGGAAGGAGGGGGCTGCTGGTGGAAGTGGGAGTTCCGCGATCGCCCTTTCTCCTGCGAAGAGCACTCGCTGGCTGCTTTGCATACCCCATTGCCCCTGGTCCTCGCGGCACCTCGTCCATGCGACAGCCAAGGCTTCGCCTGCTACCTTCTGTAGTTTGTGTAGAAAAACAGCTAACGTCCTGCCCCGAACCCCCCGCCTTGCCTGGCGCACGTGCCCCTTCTGCGTGATTGGAGGCTCTGTCCTCGGTCTCCGGTGGGAATGACACATCAGGCAGCAGTGTGCCGAGTGCTGTCAAGTCAAGCACCAGCTCCCTCCAGGGGAGCTCAGGGCAGGAGAGCTTGGCCTGCGTCTGTCCCGTCTGTAAGGGAGCTTTCTACGCTCCAGTCTGTAGGGTGAGGTAGAGGGGGCAACACAAGTGTCTCAGTCCCCTACAATTAGGTCTTTAAAGAGGCTTTATAAAGAGCACTCACTAGGTTGTTTTCACAGCAGTCTTTGCTTTCGAAAGCCTTTATTCTGTAAGGCTAGAACTTTTTTTAAGTAAATCAAATGTATTAATTTGTATTTAAAAAGAACTATAGGGCCGCCTGGGTGGCCGAGTCAGTTAGGCTTCTGCCTTTGGGTCAGGTCTTGGGATCTAGCCCCCTAGAACCCCCGCATCGGGCTCTTCTCCCTCTGCCTGCTGCTCACCCTGCTTGTGTGCGCGCGTTCTCTCTCTCTCTCTCTCTCTCTGTCTACTAAATAAAATAAAAAAAAATACAGAGGTTAAAAAAATCCTAGTGTAAATTGGTACAACCCCTGTGGAGGGCAGCTTGGCCATTATCCAAACACTGATATGCACACCGTTCGACCTAGCAGTTCCACTGTGTGGAAATCCCCCTAGAATGATACTTGCCCCTGTGAGAAATGACACATATACAGGATACTCCTTGCAACATTGTAATAGCGAAAGATTGGAAATAATCACTTGAAATGTCCACCAGATTTTGGTGCTTTAATGAAATACTACTTGCCTATAAGGAGAAAAGCATTTGTACGTGGATCTGGCAAGATTCCTAGGATATAAGATACATTCTTAAATGAAAAAAAGTGTGGAGTAGTACGTACAGTATGTTACTACTATTCATGAAAAAAATTCAGATGAGGGAAAATCTACTTCTAAAACATGTATGTGCATTAGAGAAGAGTCTGGAAGGGAGCCTCAGAGGAAAGGAGGGAGTGGAGCTGGAAGCGGCCTGTTTTCCGAGGGTGTCGGAAGTAGGTGGTGGAGGGGGCATCGTCCGTTCGTACCTTTCTACGGCTTCTTACTTTTGAACCTTGTGATTCTATTTCCTGTAAAAAATAAGACGTGGTTTAGAAAATAATTCCAAAACATGACAAAATCCTCTGTGAACGTCCGATCGCTTGTCTTGGAGGCGGCAGAACCCAGGAGCCCAGGAGGAGGGACAGATGCGTCCTGGGCTCGGGCGGGGGCGGGGGCGGGGGCGGGAACAGAGGCCACAGGCCCGAGGTGCCGTCAGGGCGGTGGGCACTTGGCAGTGTGGCCCACAAACATGTTCCTGGCTCTGTGCTTCGGAAGGGCTCTTCCTGAATCGATAGACCCCTGCTTGTAGAAGGTGGCCATTGGGCCTGTTTCACTTGGACCAGCCCCCGGAGGCCTGACTGGTGCGGGCCGATGCCCGAGGCTGGTGGACGCCCGAGGCTCGTGGGCTCCAGTGGGGCGGCGGGACCCACTGATTGGCTCCACCTGGGACCTTCGTGCAGGGACCGCGTGGCACGTGATTGGTGGGGGACCCTCTGCTGCGGCTTTGGTTTGAGATTTTGAGTTCTTCCCTCTTTCTGACCCGTGGAGGATGAGTTTAATCCACGCATGGAGCAAGACCTTGGTGACAGCTGAGGCAGAAAAAAGTCCTGAGTGTTTGTTTTTAAGCTTCAGATGTGTGTTTTTAAGGCACGACTTCCATATTTCATCCTTGCCAGTGGGTTTTGAATGTGTCCAAGCAACTCTGTGAGTCGAAGTCCCCCTTCACAGAGCAGCAGGGCTCCTTTGTGATGCTTGGAGATCATCTCTCAGGTTAATCATCGCTGAGGAATGTGTGGCATTGTCACCCTGGCAGGTGTATTTGACCCTGGACCTTTTCGCTAAGTGGGGTAGTGAATGGGTTGCTGCCTTGTGCGTCTGCACTAATCCCAGCTGCATGTTTCTGGCGAAGCCCGCCTTAGCTCACGGGTCCGTGGATCAGTGGTGTTGAGAAGAATACCTGGGGGGGAAATTTGGCTTTGTCGTCGAGGGAACAAGGCGTATCATAGTCGGATGTTGTAACTGTGGTGTTAAGTTTATAGGGTGCTGGGCATTTGGTCCAGATAAAAGCAGCAGATCCCACTGGACCCTAAAACGCACCATTTTTTATTAGCCATCCGTCTAAAAGATGATTTCAGGTTCCCAATGCTAAGTGCTGGGAAGGGCTCCCAGAAAGTTAAAGAAGGATTTCTTCTCTGAGGAGCCTCTAGCATCAGGGAGTGGATGAGAGAGCAAAGGAAGGAACAGATTCTAGGCTCGCGGGAGTGAAATGTTTATTGTTAACGAGGGTGGATCCGGGGTGGAGGCCTTGGGGAGGCAAGGAGAAGGGTCTGGGCTGGAGCGACTGTGATCTGCTGTCCCAGCCCCTGCAGGCCTTCTGCGTCCGGCTCTCCTTGTCCCTCGGGGCACGTACGGTGCCCGTGCAGATGGCACACCCGGCAGGAGCCTGCTCCAGGTGGCGTGACTCCCGACCCGCGGGGCCGCTAAGGCTGACAGCCGTTGATGCCCCTGTCAGTGCCCCTCACTGGATCCTCTGCTTTTCTCGGCAGGTTTAAGGGGCTCAAGCCGACTGTTATCCTTCTCTCCCGAGGAGTTTCCGACGCTGAAAGCAGCTGGAGGGCAGGACAAGGCTGGCAAGGAAAGGGGCGTCTTCGATCTGTCGTATGGGCCAGGACCAAGCCTCCGCCCTCAGAGTAAGTGCACTGTGGTGCCCGTCTGGGCACGTGTGGGGACAGCGGACTGTTCTCCTTGGCCTTTCTGCCTCTTAGAAGCACACATGCTCTCCACGAGCCGGTGCTCCTGGGCCCCTGGCTTTCTGCCCGCAAAGCTTGCATACTGACCCTGTTCCCTGCCTCTGTGGGACTTACTCCCTACGCTGGTCTGCAGGGGACTCCCCCTTTCTTATCCTTCGGGTTGAGCCAGGCCTGTCTGCTTCCCCCTCTGTCATCAGACCTTCGTTCTGTTCCGTTCTGCTTTGCTCAGGGCAAAGACAGACCAAGGGTCCGTTCACTTCGTGCCTGATTCAGGACTGTGGTGCCTAACCTTTTCTAAGCCAGTGGTGCCTAAACCTAGCCGAATCCTGTCAGGAGCCTTTGAGGAGGAGTTTGTTAAAAAGTCTGATTTCCGGCTCTCCTCCCTCCCCAGCCAAGTTAGAATCTCTATATTTTAACATGCTCCTCTGGGGATTGTTTGTGGCCAGCCTAGGACTTGTTTCCATGGTCCCCTCCTCTGGGGTCTGGCCAAGGAGTTGACAGGATTGTGGAGCAGTACTTACAGGTAATATATATGTATTTTAATGGCCTTGAGTGGTGAGAGATTAAGATTTTGTGAAATTTGGATTGTGAAACGGTTCTTGTTTTTTTGTTTGTTTGGGGGTGGGTGGGGGAAGGGAGGGTTTGATTAGGTCTTGAAACATGAGGGACTTCTGTCCACTTGTCTTAATTAATCCGCAAAGCATTTCAGTGTCAGAAGTGATACCCTGTAAATGAAATGATCACGAGGTGACTCTTAAATGGCGCATGCTACCTTTTCAGTGACCTATGCTGGCTTATTTTGTCTGCTCCAAATAATGTAACCAAATTCCTCAAGCCAAGCATTGTAGCTGTCTGAGATTAAAATGAGCTGCTCTGTAGGACTACAAAAATTTAGAACTAGAAGCACCTTCTGGGATCAGTTCCATCTCCTCATTTGAGAAGATGAAGCAGGTGTGGCCAGAACGGTGACCATAGCATTCGCCCAAGATTGCATTCAAGGTGCTTGAATTGCTGGGAGCCAGCCCTGGTTTTGTGGCTCCTGTGCCGTATCTCTTTCTCTTAGGGGTCAAGTACGTAGGGACTTCGTGCTTCAGCTCCTAACCAGACATTGACTGAGAAGGGGTGGGCTCGTCTGGTCTCATTCTCCCAGATCTTGTTAAATTTGGCAGGGGACACATCATCTTGAAAAGATAGATAGGTTGGCAGGTCTGTGACCTGCAGGAGAGCACCCTGAGCCTGAGCAGGAGTGGGGGTGAAGGCCTGGTGGGTAGGGCCACAGATCCTTCTACACCCCCACTTGGAGGGAGAGGGACTCTGCTTTACCTTACCAACTGCGAAATCTCTGACCAGAGCTATCACTGCAAAACAGAGTTGAAACATGTCAGGACTTACACCAGTTTCAAGGTTTTAGTTTTAAGTAATCTCTACATCCAACATGGAGCTCAGACTCACAACCCCAAGATCAAGAGTCACACACTCTACTGGCTGAGCCAGCCACGTGCCCCAGGACTTACTGCAGTTTTCATGTAAAGCCCATCGCCGAGCCTAGTGCTGATCCTTATGGGTCAGTGTTTGTGGGAGAAACGAACCCCAGGCTGTTTTCATCGAGGCTGTGTCCTGATTTCTTCGTGTGTTAGGTCTGTGGGTACATGTGGTTTCTGTTAATTAACGAAGACCACGTCTTGTTTACACTTGTCTTCTCTGTGAGTGGACCTTGTTTTGTATTTCTCTTACAACCAGACTTCCCACAGCAAGTTCGTACTCATTGGCCAGGTGTCTGCCCTCCACCTTCCCTGACAGATTCGACCACTTGACTCTTCACTTTCGGGTTTTTTGTTTTTGTTTTTGGGGGATGAGGGGGTCCCTTGACCTTCAGAACCTCACACAATCCCTCCCCCCCCTCCTCTTTCCTCTCTCCTTTGCCCCCTTTCAATTTCCAGATGTGACAAGCTGGAGGGAGGGCGGTGGGCGAAACATAATTTCTGCCACGTCTCTGAGCGCCTCCCCATCTGAGCTGGGCAGCAGGAACTCAAGTGCAGGAGACGGAGCCCCCTCCTCGGCATGTGCCAGCGATGCTAAGGACCCCTCTCTCCGCCCGGCTCAGCCTGTCCGAAAAGGGGCTTCACAGTTCATGGGGAATGTATACCACCCACCTACATACCATGACATGCTTCCTGCTTTTGTAAGTTTTCAGAGTATGCGTTTTTTTTTTTTCCCATGAAGTTGGATTGCTCGTGTCCAGCAGAACCTCCTTTAAGTGGTTGAATGTCCACCTCGGTTCTCCTCCCAGTGTCTTTGCTCTGATATGCCCTACCTTGGAGGTGTCCATTACTTCTGCATTTTTCTCTCCCCCTTTTCAAGTCTTGAGGGTCTTCGGCTTCTTTCCCTGGTGATGTGGGTATTATTTTAGCCTTTGGTTCTTCAGAGAAAGGAGAGGCAGGCGTTGCCTACGACACCGCAGGTCACCAGGTGTGCTTCCTGACGGCATGAAAGAGCTGGGGGGGAGACGGGGCTAGGGTTGACTGGGCAGTTCCAAGACTTGCTTGTCTCTTCTTCCCAGTTTTCATCTTCCAAAACGAATGCGAATGCAAGTGGAACTTAGCATGTGAGCCATTACCAGAAAATCCTGTTCATTGATGTTATGTTTCAGATGTGTTCCCCGCAGTCATCAGAGAACCAGGGTACAGTGGAACGAGGATCTTTTCCCCTTCCCCAGCTCCGTCTTGAACCCCGTGTTCCTTTTAGACAGTTCCAGATGAATGACCAAGATGGGTAAGGCTCCTGTGCTATAGAGCGTGCCCCCACTTGGGGGCATTGCACGAGATAGTGGGCTGACGCGTGAAGGTGCTTTGTCTCCTGGAGAGCACAGTGGACCTGAAACCCGACTCGAAGCTGCAGGGTGTGTGGGGTGGCTGGGATCCGGAGCTGGACGAGGTTGAGTTAGGGTTGTATGTTTCTGACAAGAGTTGAAGTTTTGGCACGTGTTTGTGGCTGCTACCCTAGGCGTTAGTGCTGAGTATGTAAAACTGCAGAACGGGGCAGAACTTCTCTCTGGGACATGTTTGTTCGTTATAGGTTTCTTTTAAAAGGAGATGATTTAAATATTAAATGCAACCATGAACCTTGGCAACGTAGGACTTATTTTTGGGAAAAGTATTGGGTTGTGCTTCCATCTGTATACTTGACGTGAGGCCAGATCTTTACTCTTCTCGCCCTCATCAGAAAAGAAAGCAGGCTGGGAACGACTCGCCCCATCCGCCCGCTGAGGCAGCTGGTGGGACGGGCGCCGCGGCCCACGATCATCAACGCCGAAAACCTGAAGGGCCTGGACGACCTGGACGCGGATGCTGACGATGGCTGGGCAGGTGGGTCGTGGCACTTTCAGGGCCAGCGAGTGGGTGTGCGTCCCTCAGCATGCCGCAGCGGGGCTGTGGGGTGGGCGGCAGCTTCAGGGCCCCCAGCAGGTGCTGGCCAGCGGTTGCTTCCTCACCGAGCTGTGTCTTCTGTTGGTCTTTGGTCTCGCTGTTAGATGCAGGGGACTTTTTGTTAACTTTCTAAAAGTTAAACAAAACTGGAAATGGGGCAGTGAGCCCCCAGCGTCCCATCACCTGGCTTCAACAAGTACCACACCCTGTCCGCCAGTCCAATTGTGTTCTCTTAAAATTCTTTTTGTTTTTGCTTTCAAGGAAATTTTAATTACACTGAAAGGTGCTCGTCTTCATTGTGCAGTTTTGACAGAGGGATACACGTGTGTAGCACACCTCCCATTGAGAGGACTTTCCAGAACTTTCCCCAGCCAGCCAGCCTGCCTTCCTCCCCCGACTCCGCCTAGGGCCTCCCCTCTTGTGAGGGAGGTTCCATTATGAATAGTATTTTCATTTGTCTTCAGTAAATACCCAGGAGTGGAATTGTTAGGTCAAAGGGAAGATGAGTGGTTGGGCCTCTGAGACCCACCTGCACCTTGACCTGTGGTGGCTGTGCTAGGTTACATTCCTGGCCTCAGGGTTTGAGAGCTGGGTTTCTATGCGCCCTCACAACACTTCCATGTGATTAGTCTTTTTAATTTTAGCCATTCTAGTGGGTGTGTAGTGGTGTCTCATTATGCTTTTAATTTGCATTTTGCTTATGACTAATGATGATGAACAAGTTTTCATGTGTTATTTGGCTACTGGTGTATTTTCTTTCTTTTTTTCTCTTTTTGAGTGGTAGGGTACAAGTCATGGATGCGAGTCCTTTGCAACTTAACGTTTTACAAATATTTTTTCTCATTGTTTGCCTGCCTTGTCTTTTTTTTTAAGATTTATTTATTAGAGCATATGAGTGGGGGGAGGGGCAAAGAGGGAGAGAGATTGAGAATCCCAAGCAGACTCCGTGCTGAGAGCGAAGTCTGACGTGGGGCTCAATCCCGGGACCCATGAGATCACGACCTGAGCCGAAACCAAGAGTCGGATGCTCAACTGACTGAGCCACCCAGGCGCCCATGTCTGTTCGTTTTTTTAGCCCTGGGTTTTGATGAGCCGAAGTTTTTTTGTTTTGATGAAGCTTAATTTATAAATTTGTGTTTTTTATAGTTATTTCTTTTGTGTTCTGTCTAAAAATCTTTGTCTCCCCTTGACAGCAAAGATACTCCTTTTTTTTTTTTAAAGATTTTATTTATTTATTCAACAGAGAGAGTGAGAGAGGATAAGCAGGGGGAGCAGTAGAGGGAGAGGGAGAAGCAGGCTTCCCGCTGAGCGGGGAGCCTGATGTAGGGCTCGATCCCAGGACCCTGGGACCATGACCTGAGCTGAAGGCAGATAGATGCTTAACCATCTGAGCCACCCAGGTGCCCCAAGACACTCTGTTATTTTCTATAGTTTCAACTCTTGTTCTTGGGTCTGTGGTCTATGTTGAATTAATTTTTGTGCGTAAGCTAGGAGTCAAGGCTCGCTTTAATCCAGAAGGATATCTAGTGGTTCTGTACCATTTGTTGTTAGGACTTTCCTCTGCCTATTGAATTTTACTTTGGCACCTTTGCTGAAAATCAATTGACCAGATAAGTATGGGTCTATTTCTGGACCCTGTTTATTTCCTTGATGTATTTATTCATCCTTATGCCAGTACCGCACTGTAGCTTTATAGTAAGTCTTAAATTCAGGCCATGTAAGTTTTCCAGCCTTGTTCCTTTTCAAGATTGACTATTTTTTCAATATTACTCAACTATAAGATCTTTTTATTCCCATATAAATTTAGACTCAGCCTGCCAGTATTTACAAAAAGCCCACAGGCATTTTGGCTAGGACTGTGTTGAATGTATTTCTGGATAAATGATACCTTAATTTTGATTCTTCCACCCGGGAACTTGGTGTATCTGACTTTTCTCAGCTGTGTTTCACAGTTTTCAGTGTGGAGGTCTTCAACATCTTTTGTTAAGTTTATTCCTAAGTAGTTTATGTTTTTTGTTGCTGCTGTAAATGGTGTTGATTTTTAAAATGTAATTATTTTTTTGTTTGGTGTTATATAAACCATTGATTTTTGTGTATGGACCTGTACCAGGCACTTCACTGAATTACACTGATTAGTTTTACTAGTTTTTGTTGATTGCTTAGCATTTTCTACATAAACCATCATGTTGCCTATAAATAGGGAGAGTTTTGTGTCTTCTTTTCAGATTATATGCCTTTTTTATTTCTTTTTCTTGCCTAAATGCAGTGTGGTACTTCCAGTACAGTGCTGTGTTCAAGTTCTTTGTTCCTGATCTTGGGGAGAAAGTGTCTAGTGTTTCACCGTTAAATCTGATGTCAGCTATAGGATTTGGGGTGTTTTTTTAATCAGATCAAGGAGTTTCCTTCTATTTCTAGTTTGCTGAGTGTTTTGTTTTCTAAATCATGAATGGGTATTGAATTTTGTTTAATAACTTTCCCTGTGTCTGTGATCATAAGATTTTTCCCCTTTATTTTGGTAATCTGGAGGACTGCATTAATTGATTGGTTGATACTTGTCTATTTGTTTATTTATTTTTAATGCTAAACCAACCTTGCATTCCTAGAATAAGCTCCACCTTGTTGTATGCCTAGATTCAGTGTGCTGATATTTTATTAAGGTTCTTGGTGTCTATGTCCATGGCAGATACTGGTCTCTGATTTCCTTTTCTTTTAATATCTTTGTTGGGTTTTGATCTTGGGTTATACTGGGCTCATAAGGGGAGTTGGAAAATGTTCCTTCTTTGCTTTTTGAAAGAGTTTCTATAAGTTTGGTATTATTTCTCTCATAAATGCTTGATAAAATTCACCAGTGAAATAATTTGACCCTGGAGTTTTCTTTGCGGTGACATTCTTGATAATAAATTTAATTTCTTTAATTAGTTAGAGAGCTACTCAGATTTCCTTTGTTGTTTTTGTCAGTATTTAATAAGCCGTGTTTTTCCAGGGATTTGTTCATTTCTTTTGAGTTGAATTTATTGGTATAAAGTTGTTGATCTCATTCCTTTTCCTTTTGGTGTCTGTAGGATCTGTAGTGATAGCCCCTCTTTCATTTCCAGTAATTGGGTAATTTGTATTTTTCCTCTTTTTCTTACTCACTTCTGCTAAGGAGTTAATTCTTTTTAATCTTCATCTCTTAAGAAGAGGCAGTTTTGAGCTTTAATTTTCTCCATTATTGGATTGTTATCTGTTCATTTTAATTATTAGGGTTTTCTGGATTTCTAATTTAATTCCATTATAGCCCAAGAGCATACACTGTATGATTCTGGTTCTTTTCAACTCACTGAGACTTATTTTATGACCAGGACATAGTCTGTCTTGGTGACGATTCAAGTGCATTTGAAAAGAATGTGTATTCTACAGTTGTTGAGCATCTGTAAATATCAGGTTAGTCACTATCAAGGTGGTTGATAGTATCCTTCAGATCTTACATATCTATATTTTTGTCTAATTCTCTTACTGCAAATGAGGTGTGGAATTCTCCGCTGTAACTGTGGATTTATCTGTTTCTCCCTTTAATTCTATCAGGTTTCTGCTTCATTGGTTTCAAAGCTGTTATTAGGCATATGCACATTTGTAATTTTTATGACCGACATACTGATCCTTTGTATTGTTTTCAGATGTCCTTTATCACTAGAAATGTTTCTTGTCTTGTGGGGCGGTCTTTTGTCCCATGTTAGATCATTGCTCTGGTGTTAATGTTTTCATGTTGTGTCTTTTTTCTTTAATCCTTTTCCTTTCAGCCCATTTGTGCTTGTATTTAAACTGATGATCTAGACAGCATGTAGTTGCACTTGCCTTTTCATCAAATTTGCTTTGTAATTGTATTGGACTTTTTGTTTTGTTTTTGTTTTTGTTTTTTTTTAACGATTTTATTTATTTATTTGACAGAGACACAGCGAGAGAGGGAACACAAGCGGGGGCGGGGGGAGTAGGAGAGGGAGAAGCAGGCTTCCCGCGGAGCAGGGAGCCCGATGGGGGGCTCGATCCCAGGACCCTGGGATCATGACCTGAGCCAAAGGCAGACGCTTAACGACTGAGCCACCCAGGTGCCCCTTGTTTTCTTTTTAAAAAGATACAGTACATAAAACAAATTTCACATACCATTAAATCCATCCTTTTAAAGTCCACGGTTCAGTGGGTTTTAGTACATTCACACGTTTGTGCAGCCATTCCCACTGTCCAGTTCCAGAACATTTCCATCACCCACAAAAGAAGCACACTACCATTAGCAGCCACTCCCAGTGGCACCCCCACCCCCACATGCATCCTCTGGCAACCACTAATTTACTTTCCGTCTCTGTGGTTTTGCCTCTTCGGGACACTTCATATAAACGGAAGCACAGTATAGTGTGTGGCCTTTTCTGTCTGGCTTCTCTCACTGAGCATGGTTTCAGGATTCATCTTGTTGAGGTGTGTGTCCGTATTCATTTTTTTTTTTTTTAAAGATTTTATTTATTTATGAGAGACAGAGAGGCAGAGGGAGAAGCAGGCTTCCCGCAGAGCGGGGAGCCCCATGTGGGACTCGATCCCAGGACCTGGGATCATGACCTGAGCTGAAGGCAGACGCTCAACCATCTGAGCCACCCAGGCGCCCTGTCCGTATTCATTTTTATGGCCAAAATACTCTTTCCCTGTATGGCTCTCCCACATTTTCGTGCCCACTTGTCAGCTGATGGGCTCTTTCTGTCCCCCTGAGCCCCTCAGGCTGGGCAGCTCACAGATCCCACTGGTCAAGCCTCTGTGTTGCCAGGTTGGACTCCCGTCTCGTTTTGCCTGCTTTTTTGTTCACTCTTCCATACCTTCTAACATGTGTGTAAAATATTTTGTCCAGACTTAAGAACTGTTATCTGTGGAAGGGTTAATCTGACCAGGCTTCTCTGTTGTCGCCTGAAGCCAGAGCCATCCCTCACCTGATCTGCGGTGTTTGTCGTGGTGCGGTTGGTCGGGTTGCCCTCCTCCTCTGTTGGGCCGGCAGCAGCCCTGACTGGAGGAAGCCCCCAGTGTGACGCTCTTAGCACTGCTCAGACTTGGCTTCTCTTGGTCTCCCTGGCCCTCCTCCTGTTGCAGGCCTTCATGAGGAAGTGGACTACTCCGAGAAACTGAAGTTCAGTGATGATGAAGAGGAGGAAGAAGTCGGGAAGGATGGCAGGCCGAAGTGGTAAGGAACCCCCGTCCCTGGTCGGAGCACTGCTCCCTGGGGCTTGACCAGAGTGGGTGCACACACATCACTGCTTAGCCATGCAGCCGTGTCCTGGTCACCGTGCCAAGTGCATTTCCTGGTCATGGGCAGCCTCACACAGGCAGATGTGGTTCCCCTTCTGCAGGTGGGACAGCCGTGTGGGGCTGGAGCCAGGGTGCGCATCCCGGCACGGTTGGCTGGTTGGGTGGCTGAGTCCTGGTGGTTTTAACTGCGTGCCAGTGTTTCCCGAGTGTTGTGTACACCTCCCGCTCCGCAGAGTACGTGTGGATCTGGTGCCCAGCAGGGTTTCTCTGGCCAGGCAAATCTGGGAAACCACAGGGGTTCAACTTACTCCTTTACTCCACGGTTACCCAGAGCCTAGGATATGCGTGCTGAAGCCTGTCGGGGATCTTTGGAGAGGTGGGAGAAGCGCTAAGTGGGGTATGCCAGATTTCCTGAACTTATTTGAACATTTCATCCTTTTTATGTCTTTTTTGGACTCATTTTACCTATAATGCCCTTTGGGAAAAACTCCATTGTGGTTTGGTCCCTCTAGTTTTTGTCATAATACCAGTATATTGATTGGCTAGTACTTTTTATCTTTATTTATTTTTAAAGTAAGCTCCACCCCTAATGTGGGGCTCGAACTCCTGACCCTGAGATCAAGAGTCGCACGCTCTATTGACTGAGCCAGCCAGGCTCCCCTGGCTAGTACTTTTTTTTTTTTTTTTAAAATTTTTATTTATTTGAGAGAAAGAACAAGAAGCCAGCTGGATTTGGTCTGGGGG